TTTTTAAAAACATGATTTACAACCTGAATAGGTGATAAAGCGATAGATCTTTCAGCCCAATTCTACTTTTTCTGCATAATCCATCATACAAAATGTAATTAAATGGAAAAGTCTGTTTTTAAAACTAGTTTTATTAGTTTTAATATTTTAACTTAATGCATCAAGCAAAAATTAAATTATATGCAACATTCTCTGACTGGAAGAAATTTGTTTAACATTTAAACCTATTTTCTGCACATAAAATAAAACAATTTTTGGTGTTTACACTCACTCTTTCAAATAGATGCAAGTAAAACACAGCAGAAAATAAATAAAAAAGTGGGGTAGGCGGATGTTTGCCCTGGTGCAGGTGTGCCGCAGTGGTCATGTCAGAGGAAGGGTCCGGGAGTTTCTCTTTGGATTTCACATTCCCGTGGCAGCGTACTCGGTGCTTGCTCTGAAGTTTAGGGTTTTTTCCCTGTAAAAATAATTTTTCTTCCCAGACAGTGAGCAGCAGACGCTGATGATTTTGTCACTTTTTACAGAATCAAACTCAAAGTAAGGTCAGTACTTCCACGCATTAAATACTGCACCTCATACTCACTCCTGCACTCGTTATATTATCCATTGTTGATCTGCACACAGTTGCCACGAACGTCGCATTCGCTTATGTCATTGTCATGAGACACTCTCGCAAACGCAGTGTGAGAGTAACGCAGTAACGCAGCGTGCTTACGGGAAAGTAACAGTAATCTAATTACCTTTTTTGCAGTACTAATCCCTTACTTTACTCGTTACTGCCCATCTCTGTTGTAGAGTATTAAGAAATATAATTACAATACAAAGCAAACTATAATCGTAACAGCTTCTACGAAGTCAGTTACAACCAGTCTAAATTCTTCAGTTTATGAGATTTTGCGTTTAAAAATGTGATAATACTCCTTCTCTTCGTACAGTTTTTCTAGAGTAGATCAATGTTGGAAAAATTGTATCCATTTCCAGCTCAATAATTAGGCGTGGAATAAGCAAAGGGGTAGGAGCTCTTATTGAATCTATTGTACAACAGCATCTCAGACACAGAAGATTTTTAGTCATATACAGCTCTTTGAATGATGTCCACATTTGCCTGTCTATACTCTGGGCTTCTTAAATAAAAAGAAACTATGGTTCTCTCTCTGCTGTAAAGTTAATTGCTTAATAAACAGTTTTGTCTTTTAATTTACACAGCCTCCATGACAGCCTTTTTCTTCTTTGTGGTCTTCTTTTGGACATTAACTGTGTTGCTGCTGTTGTTGTTGTTTCTGACACTGCTGGCTCTCTTCATCTGGTACACCACCTTAGCTGCTTCATCAGAAAGAGTCAGCTGTAATAGATGTAAAAAAAAATAGATAATCTGTGAATAACTATTTTTTACACACTCATAAACAGACCAATAAACAAAATCTAATATCTTGTTCCAGTGGATCTTGTACTCTTGCACTAATTGCAAAATTTTCGTCTATGGAGAGGTTCAAAAAGTGGCTATAAAAACTTTATTCACTGTGGTTGCTTGAAAGGTGCTGACCATTAAGGGGCTGTGATGGAGTTCAATAAGCTCATTCTCACTCTGAGTTTAGTATTTACTCAAGTTAAAATTTATAGGGTGAGGGCTATATTTTCATATTTACAACTGTTAGAAGTTAGAAGTGGTATTAACTTTGTTGTTGATCTGTT